AATTTAGCTCACTCTTTTCATGCTTCTGCTTAGCATAATGTCTTCAAACCTTGATTTCTATAACTAGAAACGTGTTTTTAAAAAAAAAAAGTTTGGTTTGCGTTAATGGCATGCTTAAGTAACATGTTGTATTGTGAATAAAATAATATTCTTCTTTTTTAAAGGAATCAGGTTGATAGTGAATCATCTGAGAAATGGCCACACGCCTCAGATCCGTAAGTTGAGGACTTAAATGATGCTTTATGAAGATTTGTCTTGCAGAAACATATTTTCATAGACATTTCTCCTGAACATTTCTAGGGAAGACATGAGACTGTTCCTGCAGTGATTTTTCGAGGAATCATTTGCTGCCGTTAGTTCCAAAGAGATCCAGGGATGCTGCACTCCCCCCCCCCCCCCCCCCCAAGAACACCAGTGGCTTTGTCAGTGCTGCCAGATCAATTGGTCTGGAGATTTAGTTACTCCAGGACCATTTCTACATGCCTTATAACATTATTCCACGTGATAGTGCAGATAAAGGCCCAGTTGAGGTCCCTGAGGTCTACTAGACCATTGTAACCTTTTTCTATGATTACTGCATTGAATACAAGAGGTTAGAATATGGAAAGAGTAACATTTTGCTTAGCTCAGAGAGATGTTTGGACATTACTCTTAGGAGTACAATTTATTAAGCTGTTCTGTTGCGTTACCTGTGGTTCTTGTTTATAGAGAAATTTCTACCTTCTGAACTATTTTCTCATTAATTCATATGAAGCTTATGGAAGGCCAGCAAATCTCAGGTATGTAGGAATCAAAGAATCCAAAAAAACCCAAAACCAGTCTAGCATCGTGTTAGAGAGCATGAACAAGCTGTTGTATCTTCACAGCACAACACTAGATAGGTAGTAATTCATATCCTAAAATCAATATAATCATGCGTGGCCTGGCTTTCTACCTGCATTTTGTAAAACAGCTGATTAATCCAGGTGTAGCACCGTTAGCTGCAGTTACACTGATGCTGGTCATGGAGTCGGTTCATTTAGTACTTTCCCAAGAGGTGTGTATACTAGATTGCATCGCATATTATAAATGTGCACTAAAGATTACTTAAATAGCCTGCTTCTCATCACCAGCTAGAATACTGTCCTTTACTTGGGCGAGTGGAAAACTATCATGCAGCAAAACCTGGACTATCTCATCTATACTGGTAGAAAATGATTCTGATATTTAGAGCCAGACAGAGGGCGTCATTCTGCCACTGTAAAACTTTGGTTCAGCACGTCTAAGTGCAGTGTGCAGTTCAGGTTCTCCGTAAAATGAGAGCACACACTGCAATGAGAAAGGCTGCAGGGGGAGACAAGTAAAAATATTGATGGAACAGAGCGACTGCCTTTTGAGGAGAAGCTGAAAAGGCTAGACCCCTCACCTGGGAGAGGACACCGCAGAGGTGTCCGAGTTTAGAGAATGTGACTTAGTCAGATGTGACTGAGTTTAGAGAATCAGGAAGCTGGCAAATAAAGGAAATGCAAAACTGTTGTAGTGGGGGAGTACAAGGAGAGCGGACTGCAGAGAGTCCTTAGACTCACGTTCTTTCTATATCGTCTGTTCTCTTGCAGCTATCAAAACCAAATAGACCACTGGGCCAACCCATTAGAACTTTTTTTTAATTATTTTAATCAGACTGTACTTTGCATACACCATTCTAAAGAATTGGTTGTGCTTTAATGTAACTGAGCAACTGCAGTGAACTCTTCTAATTTCTGTTGTGGATAATTGGCGCTTTGCAGTCGAACCTTTGTTTAAGGATGTAGCACTTAGAAACTTCTGAACAATTGTTGTCTTTGTGTGGTTTCACTGGGTTAAATTCCCTTCAGCTCGATAGTACAACTGCAGAGGTGTTTTTTTGCGTAGCAACAAAAAGGAACAAATCTATTTCCAACCAGGACAGAGCATTCTTTGTACAAAAGCTTCCTCAGACTCACTGCTTGTATGTTCTCTGTTGGCGGTAAGGTCTTCAGTCTCAGTCCAGTTAGACGAGTGACCAGACCGGAATCTGTTAACTAGTGACTCTAGCCATTGATTTTTAAAAGCTTAAAAGAAGAAAGGAAGAACTAATGACTAACTAAAAAGGATAAGCCTTGCCTTTACCTGATTGCTTTCTTGGCTTGGAGAAGCCTAAGTTTCACATGCTCTGCAAATGGTTTTGTCCTTGCTAATGGTGACAGTTTTAGTATTCTGAATTGTCTGTGCCATGTGGCTGAAGCAGATTCTGTTTGCTTTACCATCAGGGCAGAGTTTGTCAGAGCCTTTGTCTTTTTCTTCCCTACTACGTGAGCTGTTTGGTTATGAGGCAGAGTCCTGCCAAATACAAACCAGCACGTGGGCCGTGTGGACCATTAGCACGTCTGAACTTTTAAGATACTGTGATAGCACAGACATGTTGAAGAGTCTTTTGATATCTGAATTTAGAGTCCTCCAATTAAACTAGCTACTGCCCAGTTGTGCAAAATTCCAGCATGTTAAGGTCTCAGGAAGTTCAGATCGGTTTACTTGCGCAGTTTGTTGGTGTATGTCTGCTTGCTAAAGTGCTTTTCTCCCTGTCTCTGCAGGCTGGTAAGAAATGTACGGTGATCGGTGGGTCAGGATTCTTAGGCCAGCACATGGTGGAGCAGCTCCTGGAGAAGGGTTACGCGGTCAATGTGTTTGATATTCAGAAGAGATTTGACAATGACAGAGTGCGGTTCTTCCTGGGAGACCTTTGTGACAAGGAGGTACAGGCTAACAACAGAACATGACATGGGTAGATAGAAAGGATGTCTGTTTAAAAAAATGTTTGTTCAAACAGCTTACTGAGCCTTGCCTGAAGCACTAAAAGACCTGAAGGCATTGCACAGGTTGTAAAAGGGTATGTAGATATGCCCCCCAGCCTTTCCCTGTGAAGTCAGTAGCCTAAGCAGTTTTCTGTGGAACCCTCATCTAGAACATTTAAAGAAATATACTTGACGTCTGCTTGAAGCTGAAAAGAACAGAACTTGTTTCTGTATTATGATTTGCATTACTGTTAGCTTAGGTATAGAGTCTAATTACAGTCACTGTTGGTAATTGCTCGTGGGTGCTCTCCTAGCTAACCTCAGCCGCATGAGAATGGCAGAACGCATTATTCCTAACAGTTAAGGCCCGCTAAGACCTCTTCCCTTAACTCAGTCATGTGTGTGAGCCTTGGCAAAAACATTTGTGTGCAATGTGAAGAGACATCTCCCCACCAGTGTAAGGTATCATGTCTCGGAGCTTTGTGGCAGTCATCTCAAACACAGACAGTGCCATGGGGTACTGTTGGCTGTTAAACCTGCTGCTGTCTGAGTTTTCTAACTCCTGTCTCCAGGTAATTTTGAGTCTCCTACCTGCACTTGAGACTATTGCAAGTAGTTAAGCCTAGATAGCCTCCAGGTCTCAGAAAGTTCCCAGGTTCTTCTCTGGAAAGAAAAAATAATATGTAGTGCTTTTTTGCCTAGCAAGAAGGAGAGGACATTGTGAAGATCCTATTCCAGCTGCTCACCTTTATGGAAGGAACGTGACTTGAAATTTAGCAGTTTTGTTTCCATGAGAAAAAGAACTGTGTTTTATTTCCTTCCTTTTTTTTTTTTCTGAGTAGGCACTATTACTGTTGCTTCATTGCTGTCTCATGCCATGTATCTTCTAGGCTTTGCTCCCAGCTTTACAAGGTGTGTCAGTGGCGTTTCATTGTGCATCCCCAGCACCTTCAAGTGACAACAGGGAACTGTTTTATAAGGTGAATTTTATGGGAACCAAAGCAGTCATTGAAGCCTGCAAAGAAGCTGGAGTGCAGGTAAGGGTAGAAAAGCACCTGGAGACTATAAGATGCTGACGTGACTTTATAACAATTGCAGCATGGACCAATTTCAATCTAGTTTGACAGAGGGGCAAAGGTATCTGAGATACTGAATTCCTACCTGTTCTGTGAAAATTAGTAGAAGAGGGAGACTCTGTTGGTCTCGCACTTGGCGTCTGGTGTAAGCTCAGTCCGTGTTTGCCACAGAAAACCCACACATTGCAATCTTCTTGACTGCAGGAAAAGCATCCATTAAAATTTGTCCTACTAGGCGCCTGGGAATCACCCACGGGAGAACCACAACTGACAAGTGGATTCTTTCATGCTTTAATGAGGGGACAGCTGTAAAGATAGCTTTTCCAGAAGTGGAAGTATTCAGGCATCTATTACCTATGTGAATTCTTGATGTATAATGAGAAGGAACACACTTGTGCCATAATCTCAGTATAATTTGCTTTAGAAAGTCATTTGCCCACAAAAGAAAGAGCCAGAGGAAACCAGGCTGCTGTTCAGGCAAGTTTTTTGTTTGGGTTTTTTTTTTCCTTATGTTATTTTGATATCACATGAGTTTTCATTTAAATTCTTAGCTAATTTTCAAGCGCAAGGCATGTGAAGATTCCTTACTTATTTTGGGCAGAGATGTTGCCTCCAAAGTACGCATTTTGCACAGTGTCCACATACAAATACGGAAGTCATAATGTTCAGAATTAAGTGATGTATATTACATAGGACTCCCAGCCCCACAGTTTGTTGTTTCTTGGTGGTTTTTTCCCTCCCCCGCATGTAATAAGCTGTTGTAGGAGATGGGCCACGCAGTGTTTACCTTCAGGCGTAGTCTGCATTTTGTCAGAGCAAGGGGTTAAGTCTTGTTGGAACTTGCTGGGTCTAGTCATCTTTATATTACAATGTAGATCTTCATTAAAACCCCATGTTTCTGATTACTCAAATACATCACTGACTTCCTGTTTTGAATCCACTAGGGTATGTTTTTATCCAACAAAAATATCCCAAGATAAGAATTCTTTTTTGGTTTAATCTACCGTGGTACTGTTATCATCAAGATAAGCAAATATATCTTAAAAACACTCATTGTGTGTTAAGTGCTACCAAGCCAAGTGGGCACTCTGATTTTCTTAGAGATCTTTTCCCCTTGACTGGCTGCCTTGGAAGTTTGTTGAAATGTTTTAATCTCTTTTAGGTAGGACTAAGCAATGTGACAGAGTCAGTTAAAAGGGTGGGAGTTTTCCTACCTGCAGCTTCAGATCATCTTCTGTTAGCCCACGTTCTTCTAGACTTAGTTTATTATCTGTAGAATCAGTTGATTAAACATTATTACTGTCTTTACTCAGCCCTTGTAAATAATGACCCTTTTGTCTTAGGCTTTAAACAACTGTTTTCTTTCACATCTATTGCAGAAACTGGTGTTAACTAGCAGTGCCAGTGTAGTTTTTGAGGGCACAGACATAAAAAATGGATCAGAAGACCTCCCTTATGCAAAAAAACCCATCGACTATTACACAGAGACGAAGATCCTACAGGAGAAGGTATTTGTCATCATATGGTTCACATTGTTATTTTCGATGCTTAAAACTGCCCTTCTGAAAGTAGGGCATGCCCTGGGGGACACAACAGACTCTTCAAGACTGAACAGATCTCTGTTCTCAAGAATCTCTCTTTCATTAAAGAGAACTATCTTGTTCTTACAGTCGCAAAGAAAATCTGTGCAGAATCATGCATGTGTAGCCATGCCTGCCAGAGTTGTCAGTATAACTGAAATAGAAAATTCCCTTCTTTTAGACAAATCTGTCAGATTTTAGCCCTCTTATTCTCAGCGCGGAGGCTAGTGGGCTGTGGATTCAGTTATCGTTTTTCTGTACAGGAAGTGCTCAGTGCGAATGACCCAGGCAACAATTTCTTCACTACTGCTATTCGTCCCCATGGAATATTTGGTCCTAGAGACCCTCAGCTGGTTCCCATCCTCATCCAAGCAGCTAAGAGTGGCAAAATGAAGTTCATAATTGGGTGAGCAAGGCTCGGTCATTTTATAGCTTTTGTTAAAATCGGTGCTGAACCTACAGAGCGCTTTTGGAAGCAAATAATATTAAATCAGTAGTGGTGTTGTGGCATGCAAAAAAGTACGTTTCTTCAATTTTTCACTTGTGATCCGGGATTCTTTTTTTTAAAAATCCTTCTATGTTAGGGACTCATGCACTCAGATGGTAAGTGTTCATAATGCAAAAAGAATATCAGTGGGGAAAGCTGACATAGCTTGAGCTGTCTTTGCATTGTCTGAAGAGCTGTCCTTTTAAATATGAGAGAGCTCAGATTACTTGCTGTTAATTTAATTAATATACACTTCTGGTATTTGAGGTTCTTGCAATTAAAAAGCCCATATGATAGTGTTTTAATATTTCTGATTATAAGATCAAAGATATTTGCCTTGTTATTGAGCCTTGCAGAGCTTCTAGTGGACCACTGAAATTTTAGAGCAAGAAACAGTTCAAGCTACTACTAAGGATATTTTTATCGATTGTATTATGCTCTTGAAAAGGAATGTGCCCTTTAATTTATAATAGATTTTCATTACATGCAAGGAGCTGGTTTGTGTGTATATGTGCACATGTGAATATGTGCTTGGGATAGAAGGAAGAAAGCAAATGGGGTTGTAGGTTTTTTGGTGTCGTTCTTCCTTACAGTTCACTTCTGAATTGATCTCTCAAACTGATCTGTGAGCAGCAAACCTACACAAACTCAAGGTTTCCACTTCGTGCAAGTCTGCATTCTCTTCCAGCTCAAACATGCATTCCTCATTTGAGTTTTCCTACCGCTGTGCAGACCTGTATATCCCTTCTAAGAATGCAAATAAAATAGCCATTCATCCATGAATGTAGGAAAAGAAAATGATTCTTTCTCAGAATGTTGGATTGCAGCAATATTGTTTCTATCGCCAAATGAGTGTGATAATGGTTTTGTAACAAACCATTTGTTTGATTTAGCTGGACTCTTGCAAGTGATACGCAGATTCATTTTCATTTTCTGTACCTGTGTAGAAATTTAACACAGTGGGTTAAATCTGTTTCAGCTAGGGCTGAAGTTGGCTTATTGAGGGAGTAAGTTAGAATTTCATGAGCCCAGAAATTAATAATTGAAAGCTTGTCCTTAAGTGACTTCCTTTGTGCTAGTTACCACTCTGTTTCTATTTGTTCTGCTTCTGTGGATCACTCTGCTGATTCTGAGACCTGTAGGATCTGCCACACCTAGAAACTTGGTAACTTGTGAGGTTTAAAAATGGTACTGTTACAGGAATGTAAACTTTGAGGGCCTTGACAAGAGCTGAGACAATAACAGCCTTTCCTCTGTCTCCAGTAGTGATTTAATCTCTCTGAGAGGGTATAGCCTGAAGTTGCAGCACAAGAGAGTGGGAAAAGAGGAAACTTGGAATAAATATACCTTGTGTGAAAGTCCTGCCTTTTGCCACAAGCTGATTTTCAGCCTAACTTGCCTTAGGGCTAAACTTCTTCCTTTTTTCTGTGCAGGGATGGAAAGAACTTGGTAGATTTCACCTATGTGGAAAACGTGGTCCATGGACACATCCTAGCTGCAGAAAATCTTCAGAAAGACTCTCCCCTGTGTGGGAAGGTAAGGAAGGACCTAGCGAGGGGAGGGGAGTGGGTGTCCCCTAGCCGAACTTCATCTGCAAGCCTGGCTTGTCTTCATGTGTCTGCTCTGTAGTTCTTGCTGGTTTTTGTCTGTACTGAACATCTATCTTGGAGATGAGTGGAACTAGCACCCACAAATGGGTCAATTTTTTTTCTGTCTGTGGGTATAATGAATGGTTGCCCATCTGGTGACCATTGTGTGCAACCACATGGGCTAAGGTGTATCAATATACTTCATGTTATAAAACCCCTTGTGAAAGGAAATCCAGGCAGAATTGTGGGCAGCCGAGATGCGTACGTAAGAAACATAGTTATTTAGCTTTTACGACAGAGTTCAGAACAGGAGAAACTTTTACAGATTTTCATGGCACCACCATCCTCTGGGCATGCGGTGTACATACGGCTCGGATGCTTTAATGTGTTTGCGTTCTGTTGTGTCATTCAGTTTGTTTGACCATTTATGAGTAATCTTAACCTCTGGAGTGTCAGAAGTAGCTCTCTTTCTTAGCAAAGAAGGGGTTCATCACTTTTCAGACAGAGGTGGTTAGTGCAAAGCAGTTTCTCATGAAAATGTGTTCTCAGTCAAGTCAAGGATGTCAGTCTCCTCAGCGTGAACATGAGATGGGCCATCACAGAGACAAATTTGTGAAAACCGTAATGATTTTATCATCTGGCTTTTTGTCTTCCTCTCTTTCAGGCATTTCATATCACAAATGATGAACCAGTTCCTTTCTGGGCTTTCATGTCCCGTATCTTGACTGGCTTGAACTACGATCCTCCCAAGTACCATATTCCCTATTGGCTGGCATATTACCTGGCCCTGTTCCTGTCTCTAGTGCTGTGGCTGCTGAGTCCACTGGTCACCATCAAGCCCACTTTTACCCCTATGCGGGTAGCATTAGCTGGAACGTTTCACTACTATAGCTGTGAACGGGCCAAGAGAGACATGGGCTACAAACCAGTGGTGAGCTTGGATGAAGCAATAGACAGGACTCTGCAGAGCTACCCCCACCTGCGCCAGGCTAAGGCCTGAGAAGTCCTAAATGGATTTTTTTCTACTTGATTTTTGTAATTGCTTTGACATCTTAACAGGAACACTGAAGCAAATTTCACTAATTCTCTGGAACAGGGAGTTTTCCCGAAGTCCCCCCTCCTCCTCACCATTATCAAGACCGCTTTATCTGGATTGAAAAAAATACTCATGTAGGAGCTGCGCTAACAGTTCTTTTCTTTGATGTGACTTCTTGTTTTGAAGCAGCTGCTGAA